AAAATAAAACATTCTGCTGCATCCTGCTGCCTTCCTGCCTCTGCTCCAGAGAGGTGTGGGCGCTGGGCACTGGGGTGCGGGGTGAAGCCTTCCTCTGCCTGCAACCCTCAGCGCCTGCGCCTCTCCTCCTGGCGGAGCTCTGCCCACCTCAGGCCCCGGCTTTCATCCTGTTGTTGCTTCCTCAGGCTCTGCTCAAACTACAGTGTGGGGTAGAGCAAGGGCACCCCAGGGCAAGCAACCTGAAAGGCAGAGATGTAGACGGGGGTCCCACGAGCCGCGTTGGAGTGAGCCGCTGACAGGGCCCGGGCGCTCCCCACCTGCCTCCCCCGCCCAAGCCGCACCCGTGCACACCCAGCCACCGGCTCAGCCACGGGAAGCAGCTCCCTCTTGAGCCCTTGCAGCACAGGCGGGAGGGAAGTGAGGACCTCGTCCTGGTCGCCTAACCACGTGGAAAGCAGGAGGCAGGACAGGGCAGGAGAAGGCGTCCTTGGCAGACCCTGGAAATCTGACCTGAAGTGTTTCCCCTTAAAATGAGGACAGCTTCTACCGACGCGCAGATGAGGGAGTCCCTGGAGCGGAGTCCCTGGAGCGGAGTCCCTGGAGCGGAGTCCCTGGAGCGAAGTCCCTGGAGCGACGCACCAGAAGCGTGACTGGCCTGGCGGAAGAGCTGCCTGTGCGCGGCCGGGAACGTAATTTCCAGTGTGATGCACTGGAAAGCGCAACACAGCCTGTGTCTGCCCTGCCAAAAACCCTGAATTCTTTTGAGGATCGCATCTCGATTTTTCCCTAAAATGAGTGTATGGAGGAGTTCGATTTTTTAACTTCATGATAGTACTAAAGGTGGCTCAAATTCAGAGTTTAGCTTAGTGAATCACTATGCAGCTGTCCTCAGGGAAAGAAGGTGGCAAAGGTCGTTCTGCACTGTTCTGTTGGATTTGTGTACGTGTAAAGCCAGGAAGTTCTAAGATGTTTTGTGCTGTTGGGGTTTTTTGTTTGTTTGTTGGATTTTTTGTTTTCTTTTTTTCAGTGTATTTGGTACAGGGTCTCACTTTGCAGCTCAGACTTGTAGTGATCCTCCTGTCTCAGCTTCCCCAGAGCTGGGAGTATAGGCGTGCACCACCACACCCAGTCTCAGTGCTCAGCTCAGTGTAAGAGAGTCAGATTAGACAATAAATGCTACAAAAGACAATGCATGCAGCCGGCACCCTGGCCAGACCTCAGGGACAGTGGCTGGCAGCGGTGCCATAATAGGACTCATTCTGGTCCTGTGTTGTCACCATCACTGATGCCACTTTCTAAATTTGTTGCTTTATTTATTTTGTAGCATCATTCCTAGCACTACCTAAATGGAAATAAGCTTTGTAACCTCCTAAAACTATCAGGCTATTTAAATTTTTTTCTCATTATTGTTCTTTGTAGACTTGACTAGTTTTGCCATTAATACCTAGGGAAAGAGGGAGACCCTTCACAAAAGGAGGAGGGGCCAAGTGAAGGGGAGAAGGAAAAAGGAAGTCAAAAGAATGAAGATGAATTCTGTCCATCAACTTACCGTGAGGACTGTGGCCATTACATCCTGCAAACGTGGAGTAACAGTGATAAATGTTTCCTTAAACACCAAAGGAAGCTAAATGCATCCTCGTTAGGCAGAGGGGTGGGAAGTGGACTCAAGATCTCGGTGTCCTAGAGGCAAGAGCAAAGGCTGCTTCTCCGCAAAGGGAACCGCTCTAGCACTGGACAAAAAAAATTCCCTCCCCAAAGACTCTGTCTGCCTTGATGTCAGCATGGGAAGAATGACTATTTCTCAAAAACACTTCATTTTTGCACTCCTATTCTTGGTAAAGAACAGTTGGCCAAGGTTCAAGCCCCACCCTGGAAACAATTTTACTGTGGAAATTAACTTTAACATCTTCACTGAGTCATGCAGTCGAAAGTTGGAACAACACGGGACAGAGTGTTGTCATTTTGTTTTGAAATGGGTCATCCTACGTGGTATCTTAAGCGTGTTATTCCTATAATCTCCTTGACGATCACTTCTCCCTTTTGAAAGTTTGAATATTTTTTATACACTCTCAAAAGACAGGATCATGCCTCTCTACTCATTTTTCACATAGTTGATGTGACTGCCACTTCCTGGATCTTCTAAAAGATTTGACGAAATTGCGAAAGACTTCTTTTTCAACTTTGTTCACTGTAATCTTTCAGCACTTTCTTCATGTTTTCATGAGCTCCTAAAGTCTTTCCACTTTTCACAGTGGAGAATTTTTTTCATGCTTTTCCTTATTCAACAATTTGATTCATTTTTCTTCCTGGAGTTTATTTTTGCTGTATTCTTATCTTCCACGTGCAATTGTATTCCGTGTCATGGGAACATGAGTTTCCCTGAAACCAAAGTTACCAAGTGGCATAACATTTTTTAAAATGCATTTGGTTGTTGCAGGGTCTCACTATGCAGCTGGCCTCATGCTTTCAGCCTCCCCAGTGCTGGGATTACAGGGGTGCACCAATACACCTGGACTCTGGTCAGCTCAGCCTGCCCTGGGGGTGGGGCTGGCACTGAGTGTGCTGCCGGTTATGAAACTGTGGTCCCTGCACTTTGCCTAAGCTTGCCTAAGCAGGCACTTTAGTCTGCTGAGCTCTCACCAGCCCCTGGCATAGCATGTTTTCACGTGAATGTGTGCAAATTTTCCATCTCTTCTATCAGCTGATTTAGCACAGACTGCAAGATAGAAATACAGAAAAAAATGTGACTTGCATTAAGCTAAGCCATTAGAAATGATGCTAGGAATGGACTCTCTGTCCCCACTTCTTGGTCCAGTGCACTTTTGGCTGGAAAATGGACAATTCATGATATTCATGACCTAGTTCATATTGGCTGTTTTCCAAATATCATGATCAAAAACAGGGCAGGGCCTATGGATAACTACTACTCTCTGATCTGCTACTCACTTGATATGAGAAATAATGGGGGTGCGTGTGTATGTGCGTGTGTATGTGTGTGTTCTGATCTCTGTGGATCTCTTTGGTAGGGTATGCATCTCTGCCAGGCCTAGGTACAGTAAATGAAGCACTTGAGACACAATTATAGTGTTATTCATGAATATGACGTTATGAAACCAAAACTACATGGCAAATATAGAGAAGCTGAGGAGACATGAAGTCCCAGGGAAAATGTTAATTATACAACTGTGATATTTGTTCCGATAAAAAAATAAGACTATGAGAGGTGATAAGGAAGAACCAAGAAAAACAAACAAAATTGAAAACAATGAGAACGTATTCCTAAATATTATGGGCCAATTGTTTTAAATGTCAGTTAGTTTTCCTGTGAACCCTTCGTGGGAAGAATAATAGAGAATGGTTTGATGTGGGAAGAAAAAAAAATTTTAAAGCAAAACAAAGCATTGACATTTTCAAGCCTTAACCATCTTAAATGGAATGACTGTTAAAATGCCAAGTTAGATGTGCAGAGACACTTGGGTGAACGTACTTACGTCGTTGCAGCCTGAGAGGCAGATACTGAGTGACTCAGATCAGCCAAGGGCTGGGGCTGACTCACATGTTTTGGAAGAAGGTGTCATCGAGTCATCGATTTTCTCAGTGTTTTTCTGTCTCACCCGCCGTGCCGAATGCAATCTAAGACATCAGCACCTTTCCGAGACCTACTTCCCAACATGACATGCCAAAGCAGCCTGCCCCAAGCCTACAGGTTTTTTAAAAAATCTTTTATTTATTTATTTATTTGGTACAGGATCTTGCTATGCAGTTTGAACCCATAATGATCCTCCTGTCTCAGCCTCCCCAGCGCTGGGATTACAGTTGTGTGCCACCACACCCAGTTTCTGTGGCTGGCACAATGTACCATAGGTGGGACCAGGGACCAGCATGGCATGTGGTATGGGGGATCGAGCCCAGGTCCTTGCACGTGCCAGGCAGGCACTTAGACTGCCAAGCTATCTCCCCAGCCCTAAGGTTTTGAATGTGTAGGCATTAGGGAAATGCAGACCGCCCTTGCTAACGAGAAGCCCAGGCCTCAGGTGTCACTGTGGGACAGGTGGGAGACAGGAGTCTCCAGCAGGGGTGACAGAGGCCAAGGACTGGTCTCAGCACCCTTCTTACACTCCTGCTACCTGAATGGCACTTCTTGGAACATAGTTTTAACCAACAAATATGACCTGATACCCGTACAAGATGTTGGGGACATCCAAAGAAGAAGGCATTGGCCTTTGCCGTAGGAAGACTCAGCCCGTTGAGGATCCTGGCATGATAAATAATAAGAAGGAGCATTTGGCAGATTAGAACATATGTGAAGCAACATCTGGGAAAAACCCAGGTGGTCAGCACCTCGCCCTACCAGGATTCAGAGGCCCTCCCAGAGGACGGGCCCCATCAGGGCTGAGTGGAGATTCTAGATGGTCATAGAACAGATGAGGCCCTGCCACAGGCAAGGCCCACACAAGGAGCCACGATGTCGGCTAATGCTGGAGAACGGTTGAGGGTCCAGGGCAGCCATGGAGTCGCAGGAGCACAAGAAGGCAGGATGGGGGCCCAGGGCACAGAGCTACGTGCACTGGGGGTGGTCCTCAGCACACACGTCGCACATGGTCCATGTCTTGGCATTATCCCAGTCTCAAGACAATGCCCGGCCTGGAAATGGCCATTCTAAATCTGTGATTCCCTTCCTTGGCAGATGCAATTTGGGTGATGAGTAACAGTTATCTAAGAAAAGCTTGCAACCTTCTCCCTACCCGTCCATCCTTCTGGTGCCTTAGGTACTGAGAGCACCCAGCACTGAGTCCTTGCTAAACATCTGCTAGGAAATACAGTGCTGAGACGTTCGCACAGGTGTACGCATCCATCAGTCAACAGCTGGAGAAGTTTCCGTTGCTCCTGAATGTGTGCATTATTTATTATTTATTATTTACAGCTGTGCTGTAAATTTCTAAACGTGCCCACTTGAGTTTGTGGATAGATTCTTTTGACCCTTTGCTGTTTTCCCACAGGATTGAAAAAGCGTACAAGGAAGGCCTTTGGAATACGGAAGAAAGAGAAGGATACTGACTCTACGTATGTACTCTGCCTCCCCTAAACTATTTCCTAAGAAATGTTCTTGTCACTGTCACTTAAAGATTTCCTTGACTACCAAGTACTTTCTGTGTTCACGTCATTTCTGGGTAGCTATAGTAGCTCCGCACAAATCCTCTTAGGTCTGTACTAAAAGGTGTAGTTCGTCACCACGGTCAGGCTGGCAGGAGGTGCTATTTTGTACTGCCTGATGTCTACACTTTCCAGCAGGCCTAGGAGGCAGAAGTGTGACCGTTACTTTAGGACAGAGGACTGAAGACTTCACTCCGCCTCTTAGCTTTGCTCTTAGGACTTCTGAACTGAAGAAACAGCACAACACCTGTTTAGGTAGATTATCTCTCACCCAAAAAGAGATATGTCTGCTAGATAATACCCCGAAGCTCCTTCTGGAGATGCCAAGACTTTGTACTAACAAAAATGTAAATCGCCCAACAGAGTTGGCAGCAGTGGTGGGCTGTCAGGCCACAAACGAGAGCCCAAGACCAGAAAGGGGCATCAGCGAGCTCATGCAATTGCCAGTGGACACCAATAGGCCCTCGAAGACATTCATTACAGCTTCATTCTAATTCATTCTACATGTTTGATCATCTTGGGTTCCTCTTCAGAAATGTTTGGTCTGGGGCCTGGCATATGGGTGCACCCCGGACCCCCAGCACTTGGGAGGCAGAGGCAGTAGGATTGCTGTGAGTTTGAAGCCAGTCTGGACTGAGTTAAAGGCCAGCCTGAACTACATAGTAAGACCCTGTCTCAAAATGAAAAGAAATCACCTGACAGTGTAATCTCAGGTGCCTTTCTGAGCCATAACAGGTTACCTCAGTACATGAAGTCAGTGGCCAGGAACGCAGAATCCCAGCTCAAGACCAGTATGAGGAAATGAGCATCACCCAGTGCAGCTGGTGGTGAACATGCAAGCCTAGGATGGTAGGCCATGCGCCAGAACGGAGGCACTAAACCCTGCATTTAGGTAGCATCCCTAAAAATCATGAAGTTGTGTAGGCACAGGACTTCCACTTTCCATTCTGTGCATAAATCTGGTCCCAAGGTCCTCGGCACTGCCCTCTGTGAGCTCACAATTGATGGGACAGAACACTACACACACTGAAGTCTCTTGCATCCAACTGAAGGCAGCACACACTTGAAATGTCCCCTGTGGGCCTCCATAGGTAGCTAATGCTCAGCACATGGCCTACGAGGCTATTATTATTATTGAATGAACTGATGGCAGTTGTGTGTCCCCTGTGAGCAAAAGTGATGGAATTTCCCCGGAAATGAGAAGGCGAGGGGGGGGAGCCTCCAGCTTGGCGATGACCTGTGATGCTTCAGGTAGGAGGAGACTCAACCCCCATTTTTAAGAACAGAGACCTGGACATCGTGCACAGGGCTAGCAAAAGCAAAGGCAGAGGGAGGTAGGAAAGTGGAGGAGGCACTAGGAGGTGTCGAGGGGTGCAAGGTGACCCTGGGACTGCAGGAGAAGGTGACACAGGAGGCGAGGCAGAAGGAGGGGTGAAGTGAGGGGCAGGATGGGGCAGGAGAGCCTTAATGCCAGGGGTTTTTACAAATATCTCATGGAAATTATACTTACTACGGTCCTGAAACTTTTCCTGAATGATTTAAAAACATTTTCTATACCATTTCTTAGTAAATATGACATTATGCTTTAACCCAGAATAGCTGATGTGCACTGGCTGGCACTGGGGTACCTGGGCTCTTGTCCCAACGCTGACCATAATGGTGTGGTCTTAGACACTGTTTTGCTTTGCTGGGCCTCAGTTTCCTCATCCATAGAAATTTACACTTGCTGGAACCTACTTTCCCTGCAGGACCAGGCACTGCACCCGTCAGTCTGCCAGCAACATCTGCCAGAACCAGCAGCACCCCGCACGTAGGGGGCGCTGTTGCTTACACCCAGCACATCCCAGCAGAAAGCAGCCTATCGTTCTAGAAGGGCAGTGTCAGTAACTGCACTAGAGACTTGTGGGGTGGGAAAACCTTTAAAAAGTCTCTCTCTAAAGAAAAACAGGCATATAATTACACGCCTGTAATCCCAACACTGGGAAGGCTGAGTCAAGAGGATTGCTGAGTTTGAAGCCAGCCTGGCCTACATAGCAAGATCTTGCCTAAAACACAAATAAATAAGTAATGAGAAAGAAAGCGAGTAACCTCCACAGGGCGGGCTCAGCTCACTGACATGGGTCCAAAGCACTGTGTTTCTGTCACCATTTCAAAAGCAATGAAAATAATAAATTATTCCTCACGGTCTTGGATAGAAGCCCAGTTTCTCTCTGCGGCCTTCAGGACACATCTATTTGCAGAATTCTGAGTGCCTCTCCTTAAGCTCTTCTTACCTCTGAGTGCCCTGATGACTTACGTGACAGCTTTCCGCTGCCTGCCTCTCACAGCAGCCAGGGCCGAGGTGCAAGCTACTCTGCAGAGACCTTTGATTTTCACAGCCCCTGCTCTCCACTGGGGCACACAGCATTTCTGGAAAAGGATTCCTGACCACAAAGTGTTCGGTAAAACGCACTGGCGATTGGCCACGTCACCTCCTGTTAGTGCTGACGGGAGTCTGCAGTCATTGAGACCTGGTGGATGAAAACTTTTCCGGGCTGTTGCACACGGTTTGGGGTTGCTAAGCAACCTGTTAGGGTCGCAGCCAGCACCAACTTCCGCTGATTGAGCCTCCCCAGAGAGAGGGTAAGGAGTAAGGACCAGAGCTTCCTGATTTGATCACTGTCACTGTGGCTGATGGAGAGGGGAAGGGAGAGGGCCCGGCCGAGTGGCCGCACTGGGTGACGTATCTCACTCCACTGATAGCCTTTCTAATCCTCACAGTAATTCAATAAGCCCAGTAGTAATACTTCAGCTACAGAAATGAGAAGTCTGAGCCGAGGAGGTTCCGGACTTGCTGAAGGCCAGGCAGAAAATACGATTTGGAGCTAGCGTCCGCGTTCACATTTCACTCCGCATTTATCGTCCACAAGCCCAGATCCTGTCCTGGCTCTGGATTTCTCTCTCCCTCACTACCACTCTGTCTCCTGCGGTAATGCATTCCCTTTCCTGGCCCACCTCTGGAAGAACAACTCTTGCAGTCCAGCCCAGCTGACCTCCCAGCAGGGTCACAGGCTACGCCAAGCACTGACTTTCAACAACACAGTTCCCTCTCCAAGCATAATTCTGGTTCTTTGTTAAAGCCTAACATTTTCAAGGTTCTTACAGAATGGACTAAATTTGGGAGTTTCCAACTGACAGTGGTGACCAGCCTAGTTCCCTAAAGTAACGGCAAAAATCCCTCTTCTGCATGGCTCTACCACAGTGTGTGAAGACACATCACAGACCAGAGAAGAAATTAGAGTCCCCTCCATTTTTGAGCGTCGAGCAAATGCTAGAGAACATTATACCGTCACCATGTCGGTTGTCCTGCTTACCCCGGCCTGCAGGGGCCAGGTCACACATGCGAGGTCACAGGATCTGAAGCACTGAAGTTCGGACATCAAGATTCATCTTTCCCAAGCGACGCTGACCACAACTGCTACCCCAGTGCCGTCGCAGCACAGTGACCCTGGGGCCACCAGCGTCACCGGGGGCATCACCCAGCAAATACCACTCTCCATTTCCTCTTCTTCTATAGTTGGAGGAGATACAAACATCTAAAGAAGAAGGAGGTACAGAGTCTCAAAATAAGCTTAAGGGCCGGGGAGATAGCTCAGTAGAATAAGCACTTGCCTAGCAAGTGCAAGGCCCTGAGTTCAATCCCCAGTACCGCAAAAAAAAAAAAAAAAAAAAAAAAAAAAAAAAAAAAAAAGTTTAGAAAATCCAATCATAAAAGACAATTTAGGACTTCTCATAGAGTGGGAAAATAAGAAAAAAAATTCGGTTTATCTCGCCTTGTGGTAGTGCTGACTGGAGCCAGCCCCTCAGGCTGGACTCTTCAATGATCAGTTATGAAGGTCTTATTTCGTTACTTTCCTCAGCCAGATTTCCTGGGAGGGAGCTTGAGGGCGGGCTCGAAGGTGGTGGTTAATGATTCCTACTGTGGTAGTTTAATCTGCAAAGCAGGAATGATCGACCTTCATAAATGCCATCAATCTCTTTCTGTTACAGAGGTTCCCCCGATCGAGATGGAATTGTAAGTATTTGAGTCACCATTTTGGCGGGTTTGCATTTAATGTGTGCTACCTCAATTGCTTAAAGCCCCATTACTTTTGCTGGTGTTCCTCCTGTAGGGATAAAAAGCAATAGCTCCACTAGCTTTTCGGACCATGATTGCATGGGACAAAACGTTTTCTTGGTGAAGTGGGATGTATTTATTGCGCTCTCCTGAACCCCTGCCTGGAAGCAGGAGAGAAACTAGGCGTGGAGCCGGTGGGTCGCGCATGCAGGGGCTCCAGCCGTCGCTGTGATTCCGTTTCCAGCCTAAGGACATAGGAAGCTCATTATGTGAGAATGTTCCTCTCCAGCCGAGGCCACAGAGTCATAAAGGAGCCAATAAAACTGAACGTTCTTCCCCTTGTGTTGCTGGGCTGCAGATACATTTTCTATATTAACTTCAAAACCAGGGAATGGTCTTAAAACCATTTATGCCTGAATTTACAGCCCAAAGGAGGGAAATATGTCTGCTGGGCTTAGGTTGAGCCAGGGCTCTGACTCCTCGCTGGAGTCAGATTGCTCACTTTCTGAAGACGCCTGTGGCGTGTGGGCTCATGGGATTCTGCCCACCTCCTAAGACAACTTCCTTCCCATCTAAATCAGACGCCTATTCACAGGGTTTAAAGGAACAGCTGTTACTGGAGGAAAAGAAATAGATTCATATTAAGCTTTCTGGGCCAGAGTGGGAACTAAAACCTGGCAATTAAAAATACATTTTTTTCAAAAAAATCACCCTTTATATTATCAATAAATTGGGGGTGGCTGATCAAAGCCATAGCAGGAGACTCCCCCCACACACACACCTGAGTCCAGGTTCTTTGGCGGGGGGCCTGTGGTTCTTGTGTTCTCCCTGCCAGATGTTAGAGGAGTAGACTGAAATTGACCAGAAGTTGGGTAACACTATAATCAAGGCTCTATTCAGCAGGGGAAAAAAAAGACCCAGAAGACCCAGCTTCTCCTCCGCCCTTGCTTCTGGCTCAGAGCCCTGTCCTTAACTCTGTCTCAGGTACTCTCTACCTCCCTGTCTGCTCACGCTGCTGACACCCTGGTCCTCCTGTCCCCTCTGTCCCAGCTCGGCGAGGCCCCGTGGGCTCCTCTGCATCCCTCCTGGCCCCGCTGGGCCTGGATCGCTGGTTCTTGCTTCTCTCGCTCTGCCTCTCTCCCAGCCACCCCTTCCCCTTCCTCCACGCTCCACACGCCAGTGCTGCTCGTTGTCTCTGAGGCCCCATCGCTACCTCTGTCTTCTGCTTTGGGGGGAGCCCCATTTAACCCTCTGGTGGAACACACACCTTTACACTTGCTGTGGCAGCTGGAAGGGACAGGTGACCAGGGATGCTCAGAGGACTCATCCTCCTGAGGCGAGGCTTCAAGCCCGGCCCCTGTGTATTCCCTCCCAACAGTGCAGCCCTAGAGCGCTACTCCACGGCAGTTGCAGCCTCTGTGCTCATTGATTAGAAATGCTGCGAGTATCCCTGGTCGTGATCAGTGAGCAAGAAGAATAATTTCATTTCGGTTTCTCAGGAGAGAAAGCAGAACTGGAAAATGCTCAGGGTTCCCTCCAAACTTGGCCGGCATGCTTTGATTCCCAGGGCCGTGTGGCTGGAGCCCAGGGGTTACAGTCCACCTTGGGAGTCACAGCCTGATTTCTCTCAAACTCACGCTGACTCTCGGAGTCCTGCTGTCTGCTGCCTTGGTCCCCTTTTGTATGGCTGAGACAGCATCTGAAGGACGGCCCGTGGGATGTCTAAAGCTGCAGTTTCACTCGGGTGATTCCACGTGGACCCGGATGGTGCCTGCGACCTGGCAACCGCCCAGCAGGCACGAAAGCTCTGGGTGGTGCGGCTCACTTAGTTTTACTGTCTCCAGTTCCGTGCAGCCCACCGTTGTGTGTATCACCTTCAGTCCCCGGGGCTTCTTAGTGGGGCTGCGTGTGCAGGTGGGCTGGTCCTGCCACCCACGGCTGACTGCGCCCTCGGCTCGCAGAGTTCTCGGCTCGCAGAGCTGTCCGCCATCGTCGTGTCAGGACTTCAGGCAGCAGGGTGTAATTCCCATTTTAACCCCGGGCAAACTCTGCTTTGCCCAGCACACACTCGAGCTTTCTCCTCAGCCATCTCAGTGTCCCTCCACAAGGGAACAGAAGCCTGGGCGGCCCAGCTCTCACTGCAAGGGTCTATTGTCCACTCCTCCCAGACAGGCCTGCAGGGAAGACACAGATTTGGGACTGTCAGCCGGGTGTGCTTCAGGGATGAGTGACCCCCAAGAAAGCTTGGATCAGGGAAGGAAGGCGGAGCTGAGCTGATCACACTTAGACTCGCAGTGCAGCCGGGTCTATCCAGTCTCTGCTTGTGGTCTCGGTGTCTGTTCTCTACTTATAAATGAACCACTGGCTGGATGAGGACTAGATCCACAGGGCCCCGGGCCAGGGATCCATCCTCCTCCTCCACCTTTCCTCCCTGGCCTGCTGAATAGAGCCTCATTATGGGCCCCCGAACGCTTCTTGCGGAAGGAATCCTGCTGCGATTGGTAGGCCGCAGCATTTGGCCTAGAAATGGGTTCTTCTACGGTATGTTTGCTGACTCCGTGTGATTCTTTATATGTGTCTTGAAGAACAAGCAGATCCTTTAACAGCTTTTTTCTGCATGAAAACAATCAATTCCAGCAGCCCGGCCCACACGAGCCACCCTACAGTAGCAAAGCAGAGTGCGCGCGCGAAGGAGCAAAAAAACCTTCGGTAAGGACACAGATTTCAGCTTAAAATTTCCAAGGGGTTGTAGAAGCAGTGAGGAAAGTCCCAGCTCGAAATTGGGAAGACACTGGCCAGTATTCACACTCCCTGAGAGAGGAGCCTTTCCGAGGGATTTCCAAATTCTGTCTTGAGTAACAAGGGCTAAGTTTTAAATCAATCATAAACTTCTATGCACTAACATCCAAAGATGCTATTAAGGAACCATCAGGCATTTAAAAAACAGAAGAAACACTTTTGTTTGTCTTAGACAAAAAGCAAGATTCCAATTTTTAAAAGAATCTGCTGTCACGAAGAAGGCTTTGGCTGTCATGGAAACGATGTCATGAAGATTGAGTGGCGTCATTTGCTAGGGTGGCCACTCTATTGTTGCAAGAACTTGCCAGGAACTTAGTCTGTGGAAACTCTGTTCTCGACCAAAGGAGGGAGAATCGGGGGTGCTGCTCCTGGGCCTGGCTGTAACTAGAGCTCGGAGATCCCAGTATAAGAGCCCACGTGACTATTCAGCTAAATGTCCGTCCTGGGCACACTCGCTGCCTTTCAGATATTCCCTAGCCACTCATCCCTGGTGGTACCATACGAGGTAGTACATCACGAGGACATCCCCATCTTCTCAATTCTATTTACACAATGATTCCAGTCTACTTTGGTAAGGATATTATTTGGGCAATATATCAGGTATCTTTAACATTCCCTACCCTAGGGCTGCTATGAAGCCATGAACTGACCTCAGAGTAGCCTTCACAGCAGAAAATGAAAACTTGGATGAATATGTGTCGAACACAATTGTTACTCTATTTGTCAATTTAGCTTATCATATTATCTGAGAATAGATAATAAGACTAAAATACCCATTAAAAATAAGATCCCCTATGAGCCTCAGTTATCTTTAAATAACAGTCATATGTTCAAGTGATAAAGGTTCCTTATGCTAGGTGTAGAATTTTAGATAATCAGAAACAGAGGCAAAAGGATGCACTACAGCAAGGCCAAGAGAAAAAAGCCCTGCTTCGCACAGCGGCAAGTGATGCGCATGCCGTTCATGCAGCCTCGTTGTTAAATGGTCCCCAGCTCCCGCAGGGTCCCACCCATGTTCTCCTCCAACTTTTACCTTCAGTGGTATCGCAGCGGGAAGATGTACCTTACTTACCATGTAGACAATTTTTCTTTGGGATTTAACAAGAATAATTCCACAGATTCAGCTAGCGTTAGCAATATCCCCATGTGAAATCAAAGATATCTGTAAGAGCGCATAGTGCACTAGCAAAAGTGGGTCCAAACTGCCGATTGCACTAATAGAACCAGGCGAGTGTGTGTGTATGTGTGTGTGTGTGTGTGTGTGTGTGTTGAATATCTGCTCAAAAGAATGTATTGTTACAACTTGTTCTCTGTGTTTAGTATTTGTTTTTAAAATGTTTCTCTTAAAAGAAAAAAAATATAGGTTTTGCTTTTCCTTTATCTCAACCTTCTATTACTTTCCATAGAAATGGAAATTTTCAGTCAGCCTAAATACAGAAATTCAGGAATTTCTTTATATACAATATTAGGTATATATTAAAAATCATACATATATTATAAATATCATACACATTAAAGCATATATATATTAAAATCATACATATATAAAAATCATCCACATATATGCACATGGACAGGCACATAAATAGTTGGCTCAGCTGAACATACAGACTACCTTTTTTAAGGGCTTTCACTGTAGAGACGATATTGTGGAAACAAGCTGTAGAACTTTGGAATGTTTAAACAACTTAATTAGTGACAGCAGTGCTTTGAATTAAGGAATTATTTGAAAAGCAAAGACATAATGACAGCAGAATTGTGCTGGGCACAAAATTCATGAATTTATGCCCCTGAAACCAATTTGATTTACTTGATTTCTGATTATTATAAGTTGAATTTCATATTGAGCTTTACTGCACATGCTCACAGGGAGGGATTCAGCAGTGCCTTTTGCAATGAAATCACATAGGAAGGAGCTCAATAAAATAGGAATTAAAAAAACAATGTGACAAAAATAGAAAAAATGCCTATTTCCAAGGAAGGGAAGAATTTTTATTATCACATGACACATTGTTAAATAGACTGTGTTCACCACAGTAGCTTCACGAGAGAAGTAAGTGCACAGCTGATGTGACAGGTTTTTAAAAAGATCTGTGAGTCAAGTGCAGCGAATATTGCTGAAGCATCGCCCTGAAGCAGTAATTCCACAGAGAGCAGAGTGAGGAGCTGAGCCGAGCAGAGGATGCATGGCCTCTAGCTGGAGCAGAGCAGAGGAGAGCAGCCCAGGCCTGCCCCCTGGGGCGCAGGCATCCTGGACACATGCGTGGGTCTCCTACATTTGTGGCTCTCATGCAGCGGTGTCATAGAAGGAGAGGGCCGGCCACGCGCTCACAGTCCCCGTGTCCTGTCACCTGGCAAGACCCTTCCAGCTCTTCCGCTGTCCAGGCAGCACTCGGGAAGTCCTGCGGGAAGTCCCCGCTAAAGCTCCCTCCCCTACCTTTGGTCAAGTCAAGTGCTAGCAGCTCATACTGGAGTTCAGGGCGCCTCTGCTTGTGATTGCAAGGTCAGGAGTCCGCCCTCAGGCCTCGTGCAGCGGCATTCGGTACGTGTTGTCCTGAGATTCGCTGTGTGGTGACATGCATCGCTCTGTGTGGTCAGTGTGTGGGTGCCACGGGATGAACTCTCTGTGGCCGACTTGATTTGTGTTTCCGTCCTTTGTTTGTGGAAAGTAGAAAATCATAGTAATTTTCATTTGGGTGTTTTTTGTTCAATTGTTTGTGGTCATATGTCTTGGTTATGCTATAAGATAAAGTTCTTCTTTGGCAAATCTTTATATAAAACTTTAAGATAATCAAAACCAAAGTAAAACTTCCAGACAATCAAAAGGCAGAATAATGCCAATTTTTAATCTGCTCACAAAGAGATGGGCTCGTGGAGGCAGGAAACACATGGGCCAGGGAATCCACCACTAATCCTCTAAATCTACTTTAATACCTTGATGAGAAACTGCCAGTTGGAAGGAATACCAACCGTACTTGTAATAACAAGACACTGAATAATCTAATCCAGAGGGGACTTCCTCGTCCTTTATCTGGTGGGTAGGAAAAGGCTGAGTCAGCCTTTGAAGTGCTAGATTAGCTAATGGCTTGGGGGGCAGCCTTCAGATACACTGGAGTTAAACGAGTAAGACTGCAATAAAGAAGCCAAGATGTTTCCATTTAATATATATATTCTATATTAGGTATATATAATATATGTGGTCATGCCCCCCAAAGGTATAGAGGACCAAATTAAAATGCAGGTACCACTAATTCTTGCATGATAAAATAACACGTGAGCCTCTGACCCTTCTGAGCTCTCTGCCTGGTACCTCACAGGCTTTGCAATGTGTGTAGGCTTTTCTTCAGTTCATACAGCAGGATTTTCCATTTAGTTCCCCAGTGCGGTTTCATATGAGGCTGTCCCCATTTGTCTTTCCGGTGCTGGATTTGGTAGCTCTTGTTCAATATAGATAAGACTTCAGTGGTTTTTGTTCTGTTGTTTGTTTGGTTTTCATTTACCTATTTCCTTCCTAAATTTATTTTGAAATTTATTGCAGAAGAAAAGCAATGGAGCACCGAATGGATTTTATGCAGAAATCGACTGGGAAAGATATGTGAGTATCGAAATATCGTTCCTTCTGTCAAGTATTAGTTCTCAGACCTGGGTGGAAGATGCCCCGCCAGTGGCGCACGCATCAGCTCTGTGTGGCCTTAGAGTCACTGATTGTTGAAGCCATGCAGTAGTTACTTTGGCAACAAAAGCAAAGCTGGGTGGTAGTTTATGCTCCTGTGACAAGGGTCCAGTGAACTAAGTGTCCTCAGGACGCTTCAGGGCATACCTAGACCAGGCTGTGTGCAAATGCACTTTTTCTAATAACAACCCCAAGTGTTCCTGCCCAGACTCTGTTTCTAAGCAGCCAGGAGAGCTGAGGTAACCACCGAGCCTTGGTTCAGTACCAACCTTGACAGCCTTGTGGTACCGGCTCTTCCTAGGCTTCCCACAGAGAGGTGTCAGGCCAGGAGGCCTGTGCTCTTCTGAAATCCCCCCAGACTAATTCCCCTTGCCAACCACAAGAGCTCCACATGCTGGGCCCGGCCAGGGCCCGGGTCACTCAGGTTCCCCATCATAGCCATGGTCCCTGCCTCGAAGTTCGCATCTGCTCTGTGGCAAACACCGAAGTTCAGGAGCGCCCCCAATGCTTTTGCCCTTAGCCTTTAGTTAACTGTCCTGGCCTGACACTCTATTTCACAAAACTTGAAGCTTTTGCATATGGGTTAATAAGACTTGCTTCTGTAATAAGTGATGTCACTCATTGCATATTCAGTGTCCCAGTAGTAAACACTGTTAAATCCTTTCCTCCTGAAGAGAGAAGCCTGCAGCAAGCACACCGCAGACAAACCCGAGGCTGAGGGAGGCAAGACCCTGCGTGTCTGCCAGCTCTGCAGATCACTCTGCCGACAGCTTCCTGTCCTCTTGTGTCCCAAGACTGAGGCCCTGGGATATCTTTAGCACTTCAGTCCCCTAGGATGTTTTATAGTCCCCAAGTTAAATTGAGATTATTCACATAATCTGAACACATAAAAGCAGGTATGAGATAGGAAGAGGGATTTTTTTTTTCTGAAAATCCATTCTTTTTTCCCAGAAAGACGTTATATTTTGTAGGATTCTTCAATATACAAAAATGGTAAACTGTAAGGGAAAATGGAAGAATGATCATTGAAGTAGAAAATTATTTCATAAATTATTCATCAACTGCCTCCCACCCATCACAAAAGCCCTAACACCTAGCACAGCCCTCTCCATGACATGTCTAAATGCAGTGTGAGTTGGTGCCCAGTGGTTCAGCCCTGGAAGCCAGGCCATGCAGGAAGTGCCGTCTTTGTGCAGTGAACACCAATTTCTCTGAGTAATGAGAAGAATTTTATTCCCAACACCAACTTCGTTCTGGTAAGAGAAGTCTCACAAAGAATGTGAGCTTTTCGGGGCCCGTGAGATAGCTCAGCGGTCTAAAGTGCCTGCTAAGGCAAGCTTAGGCAGGCTTGGAGGACTGTGGTTCGATCCCTGGCACCACAAGTCATGCCAGCCCTGCCCTCAGAACAGGTTGAGCCGCGCCCCTCCCCTCAGAAAAAAAGAGTGTGAGCTTTTAAGCAAAGGCGTAAACGTAAGACATAAGACAAGGTGAGCTGGCTGTTTATTGGAGGGCAGGGAAGTCCAGCAGACAGAGCAACGTTCATGAGGCCTTCTCATGAGACAGTGGTACAGTATTCAAGTGGTGAAAGTTCACAATGAGACCTAAGTACCGTGGTGCAGGCCTGCGATGCCAGCATTCTCAGAGGCTGAGGCAGGAGGATCTCAAATTCCAGCCCAGCCCGAGCAACTCAGAATTGTTAAATTTTTTTTATTTCTTTTTGTGTGTGTGTGGTACTGGAATTTGAACTCATGACCTTGCACTTGCCAGGCAGGCACTTACGCCACTGAGCTATCTCCTTGGTCCTGATTAAAAAAAAAAAAATGGGGATGGAGTTCCATGCTAGTTCAATTCCTAGTACTGAGTAGGGGAGAGGAGAGGAGAGGAGAGGAGAGGAGAGGAGAGGAGA